TGGAAAAGCGATGTTGCGCGCGAAAAATAGCACACTCGAGAATTAACCGACGACAACACGATTCCGGATTTAGACGGGAATGCTTGGAACTCTTCTGCATTTCAAATTGAAAGACTAGGCGGAAGAATCGTCTAGTGGAAAATGGGAAAAAGATCGAACGCGATATCGGGCTAAACGGGGTGACGTGAGAAAGCGAGGGTGGCTGCGAGAAGGAGAATAGGAATTTTTACTCGGGACGTCAAAGTCACCGCCAAGGTGTAGCGAATTTGATCTATCGGCAATGACGTGGTAGGCGGCGAAGAAGAATTGGATTTTAAACGAAGTCGAAGGAATGCATGAGGAACAATAGGAGTGATACTACCTTTCTGATAATCTCATCTTAATCTACAATTTTGCTGTAGCGAATCATCTCTAATTGTTTGACAGTTAAATCGTCCTTTGATCACTCATTAAATTATCCTCTATAATATAATCGCGTGCATGAAAAATGAATGCTCACGTTGAATATTACAAATACAATTTCTCTGTTAGCAATTCCTGATAATGAAATCAATTAAATTTTACAAAGGACAATAACGGTTATAAGCGGCTAATATTAATTCGTGGAATCATTGCATTTGCTGGTTCATATAATAAAAGTGGCTTATTGATAGTTATATAATATTGAAGGAATCATTCAATCATTGAAGAGTAATTTTGTAATTAAATATACGGAATATTTTAGCATTTTGGCAAAAATATTAATATTAATTAACAAAATAATTCAATTAATTTTTTTATTATTTATTAATGTTTTTGACGCTATAAGACTTTTTACGTTGCAACGTTTAAAATTAATAGTATTTTGTTATATATATATATATTGACTTTGAACTATAACTTGAACTATAACAAACAGATAAAGTTTATAAGTCGTAATTTATAAGTCTCGTTTATGAACTGATGATACTCATTATGATTGATTTTCTTGCAAGCTAGGTAAATTGTCACCGAGCGCTATATGTCTATATGGATAGGCCATGTAAGTAATGCGAGCGATGCCGAAATCATTACCAAGTCAAATATTGAACTTGGCTAATTTGTTATCGGCGAGAAAGTAGAACGACGTGTAGAAATCTCCTTTGCCGGCAAATTTGCCCTAGTTACCGAAGTTATAACGTTGTTAAATGCCCCTGGTCGACTTATGAGACTAGCCCCGTTGAAGAAAATATATAGATCACCCTCGAACAGATTCTCGTGCATGAAAATAGGCGTTTGGAATAATAAAGGGGTTTTTTCGGAAGCGCTTTGGAATGAAGTTAAACGATCATATTTGACATCGCAGTCGAATATTAAATCGCATAGAACTACGAGCTATAATGACTTGGAAGAAAATTTGTAAATCATTATGCAAGAGTTCGGGACACTTTTTCGATTTCCGGTTTTTTGTCCTTTACGGTAGGACGTAAAACATTTTTTCGCTGGATTATTTTACAGGTTTACGATCGTTCACATATTTACATGGAATTTTTTTTAATGTATTAAGAAAAACTGTGAAGGATTTCATTAAAAAGTTTTATTACACGCTTGCATATCTTTGCTAAAATAACTTATTGTGATTTGCATATTCAAATCATGAGTTTGTATCATAAGTATCTTAACTTTCTTCGATGAAGTGACAGATCTCGTAATAGTATAAAGTATATACTCGTACAGTAACCTATCTGTTGAACCATTTTCTATATCCTTTGGCTTATTTTGAATCAATTCTTCGATAATATTTAATTTAAATTATTTAAATTGAACTTGTCACAAAATTACTGAATTTTTTGGATCATTTGAATAAAAAAATAAGTAATTAAAAATAAAAAATTTTCATTTGGATTTCTCAATCTACAAACTTTCATTAGAAGTATATTCAAATGTATATTCAAACGTTTAATATTCTAATATAAGTTTAATAGTTATTTCTAATCTCCTCTCT